AAATGTAAAAAAAACTTATTAAATTGTTCAATTCAATTATTAATTTAGACATAAATTCATAAATAATAGAATTAAAGGCTTTATAAAGTTCCATTTTAGAAGGTTTTTCATTTTACTTACATTTTCATTTTTTTCCTTTATTAAATTAATGTATTTTTCTTCATGGAAATAATATACATTTACATACTGCAAGACTCTTATTTTCTTAAGCTCTGTTCGCTCTTCAATTAGCAATCCAAATACAGCATATTATTGTGTGCCCTACAAAGACCGCACTCGGGCAGAAACTCGCGTACGCAACGCATTACCAAGTGTAAATAATAATGAAAATTGCAAAAGAAATGCGAAAAAACCCATTAACGCTTTGTGGCATTGCATTTAAGCAGCCGACGCCGCTCCAGCCTCCTCCTTTCCATAGCCTCATATAGCCTTATAGCCGTATAACAGCCCATCCGGAGCTGCGACTGAGACTAACGAGCGGCGTTAGTTTAATTTCTAGAGCAACATACCAGCTGGGGAATGAAAAAATTCATACATAATGAATGCAAATGCTTTTGCGCTCATAATTTCATCATCACGAGGCATCCTTGTGATCATCACAGAGACACAGCCACACAGAGAGGGAGAGAGACACAGAGCTCTCTTGCTCCCTCTGCGGTTTGGCAGCCAGGACGTTTCGTGTGTCTACAGCGGATATGAGGCAGGGGCATCACAAACAGGCCACCAGGGGCGGTTAGGCAGGGACGATGAGGACGACGAGGCTGCTGCGAAGTTGCCTATTTTCAAAAACACGGCATAAGGATAACAACCTCTTAACCCAGTTTGCGAGTGCGACTGCGACTGCAGGCGGCGGAGTCAGCCGCAGATACACAGATACACGGGCAGGACGCACAGGAGATGCCCAGAGAAACTCGGATACAGCGACGGCTCCGCAGCCAGCCACTGACTAAATTGAACTGTGCGCATTTAAGCGTGAACTGACAGCTTGGAAAATCGAAAGCAAAAATAAATTGTCTAGTGAACTTGGTGGTCCGCACACAGCTGAGCTGATTGTAGCCTTTGGGCTTAGTGTCAGCCGACGGGCGGCAGGCAGGCAACAGTCAGCAGGCAGCAGGCAGGCAGGATGTGGGCGTGGCGAAGGGACACTGGCAGGAAATGGCTCTCGGCTTCGGAGAGTGTGTGTGTCTGTCTTTGGCTATTAATTGAAATTCGTTGTGCTTAAAGCCTGCGCTCCTCGGCAGGCTAGAAAGTTTTAAAAGCTCGCCGCCCCGGCACAGGACCCTCGTAGGCTTGAAGGACATTACCAGCAGCAGTAGCAGCAGCAGCAGCAGCAAAGTTGTCGCCTCAGAAAAGGACCCTCACCCACACCCACAACGACCCTCTCAAATGGCATTTGCATATATATCATCTCGTATATCCTTTTTGACCGAGCCCGGGCTTTGCACGGTGTGTTAAAAACTTTGTCCCTTTCTGCCCGAGATTTGCATAGACTCGGTATAAGTTTCGTCCTGCCAGGGTGCTCATATATCAGAGAAGTCGGTAGCCAGTGGTAGGTTCGTCCTTTTTTGGAAAAACCAACTCTGATAACCGGTTTCGGCTCTGGGGTTATTTCGGTGCCCCTTTTTTTCGGCCAGCTTCTTGTTAGAGAGGTAAACAAATCTGAAACTAATCCTTTGCAGCCAACTGGCAATTGTAAACGAATTCGGATTGTGTTTGGATTGAATGCTGGACTCGTTTTTAATTAAGAAATTTCGGTCACGAAGTTAATGAAGCATGAATCAAGCGAGTTTGGATTTAGGGTCCTGGCTGGTTTGCACATTTATCAAAATTAACATAAGATAGTTATCCTGAAATTAACCCTATATCTGGTTAACATAACCTTGAATGTTGGGGTTAGGTTATTAGATTTCTCTAAAGGGAATACAATATGAAATGTTCTGTACTTTTCTTATCATCAATCTTTACTAAGCTGTAACCATTTTAAAACCTTGACATACTTTACCTGATTTTTAATCCAACTGAAGCGTTCTTAACCCCACTTTCTGTGAACATAACCTCGAATATTAGGTTTGGTTATTCGATTTCTCTGAAGGAAATACAGTATATAAACATTTTTCTCTACCTTTCTTATCATTAAACTTTAGTAAGCTGTAAGAGTTTCCAGTCCTTGGCAGACTTCAACTGATTGAATCCAACTGAAGCGTACTTAGCCCCACTTTCCGTGAACATAACCTCGAATGTCTCACAATTCGCAGAGCACACATGGGGTGCCAGTGCAATTGCTGCTGCCATAATGCATTCTCGGTCTGAAAAACGCACTTGCCATGTCAGCAATGAAATCGAAAAGTTGCCGATGCTCACCTGCTGCTGCTCCTGAAGGAGAGCTCCTGGAGCCTGGAACTGCTGCTGGCAGCTGGGTCCTGTGACTTGCGAAGGGGTTTCACGGATAGTTTGGACCAACTTTCGCCTCCGCAGGGGATCTCTCTTCTCTCTCCCGGAGAAACTTTTCCACAATGCCGCTTTACATATTGAATTCTACCGGCTTCCAGCTCCCAGCTCCCGGCTCCCTTATGGTTTCTTTCTTTCTTTGCTACTTAAAGTTTGCTTTTTGTCTTTGAGTTGAGAGATATATACCTATGTATATATATATCCATCCAAAGTGTGAGCAAATTAATTGAACGCAAGGAAATGCAGAAGGTAAACAGAGGAGAGGCAGCAGGAGGCTGGGCGCGATGACGCTGAAACTTCTTCGTTATATACTCGAATCCTGATTCTCTCCATGGTGGATATCCTGGCCAGCTAGCTTGTTAAATTTAAAACGCTTACCGGTCAGGACTCAGGCTCCCAGCCACCTGGGGAAAACCCCGAGTGAGGCAAGTGGAAAGAGCTGAACTGACCTCGGGGACTGGCAGGGGTCACGACTAGGGAATGCTCTGTGAACTTTTAGGAATCTAATTGGCAAATATCCTAGGCGGAGATGGAAAAATATCACTTTGGGTTTGACTTGAGGATGTTTCTAGTTACGCTTAGTTAGCATTTGTTCTTAAGTTCAGTACCTTTAGCTCTTAAACCCCCAACTAATATGCCCAACTATGCCCTGAAAAAAAGTGAAGAGAAAAAAATGGCAAAGTTTTTGCCACTCATTTTTTACACGCAGTCCTTGGGCTTCGCCTCCATCTCCGCTCTCTGTCTCCCTATCTCTGGCTCTCCTTCGCCGACTGCCTGCTAATCCAGGACAATAAGTGTTTGTCGTTGGGATTTAGACAATTATTCACGTTAAGTTGACGTCTGAGACGGGGAGCCCAGGCAACTGACAGTTGCGATTCGCCTCCGGTCGTCCGTCCTCCCTCCGATTCTGCGACTTCCTTTTCGAGTCTCCCGGTGCCCCCTCATCAGCCCGCGCGTCTGGCGAGTTTTGTAATTTCTTCAACGTTTCAATTTGTACCGGTCTGGATTTGGGCCCCGCTTATTTTTGGTTCTCTCATGCCGAGGACTTTGCTCCTTCAGGGGCACACGCAACATTTTGTATTATAAGCGCATTTGGGTTTTAAGGTGTCAGCAGAGCAGAGACCGGCGAGTCGCGTTGATATGTCATCTGGAAATAATTTTTATTTATTCGCTGCTCCGTCGCTAAGCCGTCTGGCAATTTTACGATGACATTTCTGGCTCTTGGAGGGATTTGCGTTTGCCAAATTTGCAATATACATTTTTCATACTTGTGCACGAGGGCAGAAGGCTTCCGCACCCACTCGAGGCGCTTTATTTGATTTCGTCGCCACAATAAAAAGCGAGTCGAACTCTCGCACTCGGTTGGTTGTTGTGTCTTTTCGGGGGTCTCCGTAGTGACCCCAGAATCCCCCATGCGTCCGTATACGTATCCGTATCCGTACTCCGGACATGGTACATACTCTCCGGCAACGGCCACCCCCGTCCTGGTCACGTACGGAACATAAAAGTATTTACAAATAATATTTCCATATGGTAAGACGTGACAAAGACTCAAATTAGCGATGGGAACGTTTATCTTCGACTGGTGGGGAATGGGTCCGCAGATCGGGGGGAAAGCTCAGCTACCCGCCAGCTGGCCGTATAAAAGTCCGGTCATAAACAAACATCGGGGAAATATCCTCGTAAACATCCAATTTATATATATGTTTATGTATATAAATATCGGAGCAGAGCTCAAAGAAATATTCCCTTACTTTTTTCCATAATTTTAATGCCCCCGGATTGAACCTTTTTTCTGTTTTGTTATTCGGCCAACAAAGTTTCGGGTAGATGCGGGTGAGTGTTTAGGCCATTAATTTAATTTTATGTTTGATTTTGTGTGCACTTTTTACGCTTCTACCTTTTTTTAATAGTTGATTGTTGCTGCCTCCTCTCGCCATCGCCATCGGAAATTATTTTGTTTGGCACTTTTAATGGCTGCATTTGGCGGCAAAGTTTTTTGTGTTCCTCGGAACTTTAATGACCCAAATTGATGTGGGATTTTGTTTTCGGGGCACTTTTAATGTACCCGAGGCCGGAGTCTGGTCTGGCTTTGATATTTTGAAACGGAAAGTGAAGCGACGGCCGGCAATTTATTCTCAACTCCAAGTTGAGGGAATAATTTGGCTGAAGGACGCTGAGGGTCCAACTAATGGCTGTACGACATGGATCGTGCTTGGGCCACCTTCACCTCTCTCTTAACTTATCTGGCGGCCAAGATCCGCTTGCAACAAAACTGAGGACCACTCGAGATGCTCTCGTGGCATCATTAAGCCGCCTTTATGATCCTCACATCGTTAAGCCAACGCCATAAGCCGGTGCACAGTGCCTCCTCCGCCACTTCAATTTTATGCGCCTATTAATGTCTACGACTGGCAGAAGTTCCTCCGCGGAGCACCACCTTTGGAAACACTTTTAATTGCTCGAACTTATTAAACAGCTGCCACTGCAGCTTGCTACAACTTTCCGTATTTGCCTCATATCCTTTTCAAAGTACAAAAAACGTCAGGAGATGGGGGGAAAATGGGGAAAAAATAAAACTTTACTTCGGCTGCATAGACAAAGACTTGGCTTAAGGTCAGCAACTTTTATTTCTTGGCCAACACTTGCACATCCCAAGTCTGAAGTGGCTCCCAGCAGCAGCAGCAGCATCTAGCTCCAGCATCTACCATGCCTCGTCCTCATCCTCGGCAGCATCCATCGTCCGTCTCCGTCTGCTTATCTTTTCGCTCCTCCTGCCTTTTTGTATTTTCATTTTTTCGTTTTTTTTTTTTCGACGCTGGTGTTGTGCTCATTTTATTGTTCTTGGCCTGGCCAACACCAGAGTCCTCGCCACGGCTGCATTTTGGCATTTTGCAGCGCTCGTTTTATTTTTTGTTATTTTTTTATTTTGAAGTTTAATGCCAGAGTCGTGCCTCATATTTCGACGATGGAATACAATAGACGCTGAAGCGGCAGCCTCAAACTAAGGCGTGCCAAGGGGGCGGAGGTGTTGTTCGTGTATTTGTTGTTTCAGTTTTTGTGTATGCCCTGCCACAGGGTACTTTGATTTGAGTCTGAAAAGGGGGAGAAAATCAAAGGTAAGATTCGGAAATATTGATGGGAAAAGTTACGGGTTGAGAAGGTGGGTTATAAGTTTTTATTGGGGTTTTAAAAGTTCTTTAACAACTCTTGGTTCTAAGATATATTTTATTAAATTAAAGAATATATAAATTATACTTCAAGTGCCTTATCTGAGTGATATTTCCTTTAAATATAATTTACAAAAAAATATTTTAAGGGTTGAGGTGTTCAAAAAAGCTAATAAATAGTTTTATCCCTATGCTGCCTTGCCCTTTATGATTTCCTTATTAAATTTCCTGAATAATTATACCTATTCTTTGTTATGTTCAAAAGGGTTATTGCCCATCGTGTCCTTACCGCACTTATAATAATTAAATTTAAAAAAAGGATTCGAGGAACTCATAACTTAGGAGGGTATTTATGGCTTCGGTCTTGAGAGCTACCTTTCCCTGCTTGTATTTTTTTCCTTTTGTTGCCGCTCAGTTGTTGTTTCTGTGTTATTTTTTTGGGTGCTGCACAAGTAGTCAACGCTTTGGTGGTTGCTACACAGCTTCAGCTTCAGCTACAGCTTCGGCTTCAGCTTTTGCTTTTGCTTTTGCTGGTTTGGTAATCCGCCTCACTTTAGCACTTGAGCGGCATCTCCTGCCCTACACCTCCACCTCCTTCTACACCTCCTGCTTCGCGAATCCTCACGCTCGCCCTCACCCTCACCCTCGCCTTCACCCTCACCCGCACCATTGTCCACTCGAAGCGCTGACTGCAGATTGAGCAAAAGTTGTGTTGTTTGCCAGCTTGCCAGCCTCTGGGAAGTGTGAACATTTTGGGCAACACTCCGCGTGCTGAACCCCCAACAGTGCCCCTGCTGCCGCTCATCCTGTTTCCCAGGCCCGGCTCAAAAGGTGTTGGTAATGATGATTTTGAATTATTCATGATTCACGACGATTGAAATTATTTGCGCGCGTTCGTTCGCTGGCTGTCTTGCTGCTTGTTGTTGGTTGTTAAAGTTTTCTGGCCGCGTGTTGCAAGGAGTCGCAGTCGCAGCCGCAGTCGCGGAGTTGGAGAATCGAAATCGCACTTATAAGGCCCAAGAAGAAGCAACAATAGCACAACAGCACAACAGATTTAGCGAGGGGTGTTCCTGTGTGTGTCTGCCGCTCGGCTTTACCTTTTCGCTTTATGTTAAATCATTCAAATTGAACAAAAAAAAAAAAAAAAGAATACGAAACAAAGCCAACAACAGCTGAGGATCTCTCTGAGGAGAGAGAGGGGTGAATGTTCGGGGAATGTGTTCTCAGGGGATGGATGCTAAGCTAGATGCTTCTGCCGGTTTTCGGATCGGATTTGCCACATATTCAGAGTGCCTTACTCCGAGCGGGTATAATGGCATTGACAGGGGGTTTGACAGGACCTACCGAAGGATATATGTCCCGGCTTTATATTTAGCTGGGTCATCCAGTGAGCTGGCAAATCATTGGCAAACAATCGAAATGTCATAAATGTAGATCGCTGACTGCCTGCTCACTTCGATGTTTCAATTCTCTCGGTTTAATGGAGTTTGGGATTAGCTGAGGGAAAAGGCGATGGAAATTATGGCTTTAGTTAATTGGCAAACTGCGAGTTGGCAAATAATGTAACTGATCTGAGAGGATGGGATAAAGGTAAAGCCATATGTGGTGAAATTAACAGTTTATTTTTAGAGTAAAGAGAATATGTGTAACAGAAAAAATATTAGTTTATATAGGAAATGTATAAAGATTAAATCTATTATTATATTTACTAAATAAAACAAGCATTTACTTGTTAAAAACTAAAGAAATAATACCAACTTTAATCATAATTTCAAGTTAGCTATGGAAAAGGTTCCATAAGCCAGGATAATAAACTTAAATCCTAGTTATCATTCTTCAAAAACATCCAATTATTGCATCAATCCAAACTATTCCCAGAATTGTGCGATTTACCAGCTCTTTTGCAGGGCATTTCCTTGTGGCATTTTCCGCTCATTCAGCATTTTCCACCCAGACAGCACGGGCTGGCTGGCTGGCTATTGTAACTTGCCAATTGGCACCGGGGATTTGGTCAAAGTCATTTTGCGCATTTTCAATTTGCCAAAAACTTTCGTTCGTTCCCGGGAGAGCTCCCGCTCGGTCTCTCTACCGCTCGTCCTGCCGGCTGCTTTTGCTGATTTTGGCTGCTTTTGTAGTCTTAGCGCATTCAGGCTGCTAATTAGGCGGCATTAAGATTGGGCCATGAACTACACCCGCTCTCCCCCCGCACTTGGTAAGCGCATTAGATGCTTCAGTTGTGACGTTTTCCCGGCGCACAAAGTCAAAACGAGAAGTAAATGCCAATAATTTGGTTCGCTCAAAACCAATCACCCCCATACACTGACTCCGAAAAGTCTTTTGCCCTTTTTTGAATGGCAAAGTGGGGGGCGGGGGCAGCACAATTTAGTTTTCCTTCTTTTTTTGGAAAGGCTAACGAACTATTTTCACAGAAACCAAGACGACCGAAGAAGTCGAAGTCGAATGCTGTTTGAGGCCACTTGAGGCGGCATTAAAAAAAAAGTGCAAGCCAGGCCAAAAAAGAAATGGAAAATCAAAGGCAAAAAAGGTTTTCCTTTTGCTGTTGCTGTTGTTGTTGTTGTGTTTGCTACGTGCACACAAACTTAATTTGAAGTTAAAATGTAGCGTAAAGTGTAGGGCAAACACAAGGAGGGTTTTCGGGGATGAGGACTTGGATTTGGATTCGGATTTGAAGGGTTCCCGAACTGGGTCTCATCTTGGCTTTTATGATCGAGTTAATTTGAATTTTCAACAAGCCAACTTCGGCATTCCCGATCAGCTGAGACAAAAGGATTCCGAAATCCGGAGGATTCAACAGGAGTTTCCTCTGACTCAACCCTTTCCCTGCTTTTATTTTTGCGACTTTGTTGATTCACTTTGAAAAGTATTTTCCCGCCGCATGTGTCTGGTATAACTTTGGTGGCTCCTGTGGTTGTTTTTTGCCCCACCTTGCCTTGTCTTTTTTTTTGAGCTGGGGTTCCTTTTATTTTTTTGGGGAAACCAGGAGCCAGAAACGTTTTGTACGTGCCCGGGTTTATGTGCATAGGATTTTCAATGCCTCCCATCGCTATTGATTTTTATACAATACATAAATTTTTCTTCTTCCGTTTTTTTTGTTTTCTTTTTTTTTATTATTTGGTGGTTCTCCTGCGCTGTCCTGTCCGTCTGATTGGTTGCTCCTGCGCCTGCATCGGCTCTTTGTCATCGTTTTTCTATATAGTGCGGACCCCCCCGCTCATACACATATAGCATCAGATTCGATTATGCGATTTAATCTGATTTCGCACAAACGAATGATTCAAATGCAAATAACACGAGCACACGCACACACACGCCACAAAAGGACATGGGGCGAAGGACTCACAGTTGGCATAGAAATTGGAGTTCTCCCCTTTTTTCTCTTTTTTTTTCGGTTAATAGCTTTCGATTTATAACAAGCAGATGAAAGCAAAAAGATTTGCATTACAAAACAAACGACAGGTAGGCCGAAGGGTTGCAGGATTGAATTGGGGAAAAGCCGCTGGCAAAGCCTATCCCAGGACATATAATTAGTGTGATGGGGTTGGCAGCAAGAAAGTTGATTGGGTTGCGGTTTGTCTGCCTGCCAAGGCAACTCACAGGTCCTGGGATTGGGCGGAGCAGGGTTAAGCCCAATTATAATGGGCCACATGTGGGATTGAGTTAAACACACTTTGACGGAATTTCAATTGGAATCGAGTGAGTGAAAGTGGAGCAAATGCTCACAGAGCGGATTAGATGGATTGATGCTGTATGGTAGGATGTCTACATTCCTCGGTAAGGAGCCTTAAAAAGGATAAAACAAATCTATAAATAAATGCATACATACTTGAATTTTAGTCGATTATTATTAGGTAAAGTTAAGGGAGGTTCAAAAGGGAGGTTTTAAAGTTTAAATATATAAACAACTAGCAGACCCGACCCGCTTTGCTGGGCCCGTACTAATTATAGTTGACCCGGCAAACACTGTTTTGTCATGCATATTATTTGTAGGAAACAATACGGAAACAATGAGCATATTACAGAGTTGTCAGTAAATAAAATATTAAACCTTCAACAGTAATCTTAATATATAAAAATCTCCTGTCACTATGTTTGTTCGCTATAGACTCCTAAACCGCTTCCTCTGCTTGTTCAATAAAATGATACTGGCATCGGGTCGTTACGCGCTCTTCACAATTGCCCATAAAATAAATTTGAAGAAATTTCGGATTATCATCAGGCATCAAAAATCCAATTTTGTGGTACATCTGGCCTTGTATTTTGAATGTAGTTTCAAAATTACGTCCATCGGATGCAAGATCACAAATTTTAGTGGCCCCAAATGACGTCATTTGGAAGCAACTATTAAATTTGCGTATTTTACGCAAAAATAATTTTGAGTCATTTGAATTTCCAGCAAGAAGGGATAATAAAGGTTCTGGCGGAGCAAGTAGAGGTTGCAAAACGACTTTTCCTGCTGCGCAGCACATACCGGCAGTTTCATTCCGAAATTTAAACGCCTGACAATATTGACATACTTTGTCCATTCCACCGATAGCAATTTTTGAATGCGCAAAGTAGTTAATATCTGGTGCATATTCAAAAGCAAGACGAACGAATGGAACGAACTGATGAGCGACTGTTCCGCTGCCTTTGTCGTACTTGTGCTCGTACTATACATATCTATGTTTCTATCTCGAGCCGCCCTGATTCTCGTAATATTCTGCTGCAGACGTTCGCTACGCTGTTCCTGGGATTCTTGTGCACGACCTTCTGCTGTCCTAATTCTTTGAGCTCTATTTCTTGTATTGACTTGTGCTGGCAACTGATGAGCTCTTTCGAAACGTCTGCGTCGTGCCACTCTGCTGCTTACGTTGTTGAGATTCGATCTTTTCGGTGGCATTTTGCTGACAATAATATCTTACCTTCTTAATGTATTTCAAATGAGAATTTAGAGACTCACCACTTATAAACGCAAAACAATAATTATGAATGACAAATGACAATAAAAGAAAAGACAATCTGACAAAATGCGATTTATTGAAATAATTTATTACAAAATATGTAATACGTGAAGAACCGCTCAACCAATTTGGTGCAAACTCATCAACAAAATAGCCCGAGCAAAGCATAAAGATTTGGTTAAATAAGCACACTAAATTCCATAAGAATCGGTAAAGCCGTTTCGGAGGAGTGCATAAAAAAGAAAATTCCTCCTTGTTCTGCCGAAACTGCCATAATGTAAAAGTTCTAAGCTATCCTATCTCTCAAGTTGAACCAAACTGCATAAGCGCACTAAATTTCATGAGAATTGGTAAAGCCGTTTCGGAGGAGTGCATAAAAAAATAAGATTCCTCCTTGTCCTGCCGAAACTGCCATGATGTTAAAGATCTTAGCTATCCTATCTCTCAAGTTGAACCAAACTGCATAAGCACACTAAATTTCATGAGAATCGGTAAAGCCGTTTCGGAGGAGTGCATAAAAAAGAAGATTCCTCCTTGTCCTGCCGAAACTGCCATTCTGACTGAAAAGCGACAGACAGGATGGATTGACATATTAGTTGGTTGTCAAATCTAATGTCAAATATTATGATTGCGTTCAGAAATTTAACTTAAGATTTATAATTTAACGTTTGTGACAAAACTTAAGATTTATCTTTCGATTTCTATATAGTCTTATTAAAAACAAAAGACAGATTAACAACTGAAGTTAGCTAAAATTAATTTTCTCGAAGCTATATGAAGCTGTGAGACTATGCAATTTTGTCGCGTTCGCGATTCACTTTCACTTTTGTTGAGTTTCGGAACGCGATATTAGATCCTCCAACGCGCATGCGAATTTGAACTTTATACAGCGGTAATAAATTACAAATTGACTCTCCATTTTATTTAGAAAACGTTTGTATGGGAAATAGAAAAATACTGTTTTGAGGATTTTCCCGGCAATTATTCGAATTTTTCTCACCTTTTATACCTTCCCTAGACCTCCACGAATAATTCAAGACCAAGATAAGATAAATCCGTTCAGCCATTCTCGAGTTTTAGCGAGACTAACGAACAGCAATTGATTTTTATATATATAGATATATTTTAGGTAATCCTCTCCCTTTCTTTTAATCAAAAAGTGAAATAATTATAAAAGTGTGATTATTTCTTTGTAACTATTTCATTTTATACACCGATTAAGAGTCTTTCTCTCTCTTATTAACTTAACTTAACTATACTCCACTCTCTGATAGATCAATCTCCAATCCAATCGCATTCCTTAAACACTTCCCCATGTTCCGCAACTACCAATCAAGTGTAGTAATCAGCTCATTCCCCGTCGAATTACACCACTGTACATATGTTGTTTCTTTGGCAATCATTTCATTATATAATCATAATTAAGCCGACTATCAACACCTTTCCCATCTGTCTTCACCTTCGCTGCACGCGGAGCTTCTTCGGAAATCTTCCCACAACTGCTCTAGTCCGATTGCAATTGGAGTCAGCCGGTTTATAGTATCTGTATGTGTGTGTGCACTTCCCACAGATTATCGCAAATTAGATGCAGTTCGCGTCGGAGTCTGGCACACATGGATCAATCCAGCGCCGTGGCCTGGCTCGAATTAAGTTTGGAACACCGGCAGATAGTCCCTGCTCCTCTGCTGCACATTTTTCCTCCTCTCCGATGATGGCACATAATTTCGCACACCACGACAACAACGATGATGGCCCCCAACTCGTGTATCTCTGGGATGCACAATGGCCTTTTCCTCATAACCAACACGTACGAGCAATTCACGAGGCGAGGCCTCCACCAGAGGTGCTAATGCTGATCAGCAGTAACTGATACCCGGGCCGGTCGGTCCTGTGCCAGGAATAATGCAAAGAAGCCAGTCCAAGTCTGACTCCAAGCACAATGCAGAGTCCAGAAAACAACAGAATTAAGTCTGAACAATGCTGGATGCTGGATGCTGGCCTCAGAGGGGACTGCTGGTCGCAACGCCCGCTGGACGTGTATCAGATGGGGCATCGAGCCAGTGGAGAGTCAGAAGTCCCAGTGGCCGGCCGGCCAGTCCCAAGTTACCATAGTCCACGAGCCCGAGTTCGGAACACAAATCATCTTCCAGCGCTCACGAAATTGTTGCGCAAACTTTCAAAAGAAACAGAAACAAAAACCCCCCGAAAGAAAACCAAACCAAACAGAGCACAAAAGAGCAAAATAAAACTGAATCATTGGCTTCTATGGCCAAAGTTTGGAATACCCTTCTAAATAATTTAGTTGGAATAAAGTTTCTTTTTTTTGGAGTAGAACTGGGAAGTACATTCAGCTTAATATTTTTAAAATGAACTTTTGATTAATAATTAAAGAGGATTTGTTTAGAATTTATTTTGTAATTAATTAGAGGAAATGTTGAATGAAAAACAAGTGAATTCTTGTTAAACATCAATTAAAATTAAGTAATAAATAAATATTTTACAGAACTTAATCCACACTTCCGCTAACTATATCTTAGACCTAGTCAACATACCTCCCCCCTTTTAGGGTATTCAAAATCAGAGTAAAGCTGGCTAAGCGTGAGGGGCTGGACTGGAAAACAAAAGGAGGCGTTGGTGTTGGTGTTAGCTGATTGTTGTTGCTCTTACCTCTACCTGTATGGTGTCTGTGCAGATCTTTAGATCTCTGGAGGAGTGGAGTGGAGCTGAGCAGAGCAGAGCAGAGCGAAGCGAAGCGGACTATGTGTGAACTCGCAAAACGTGACACATTTATATCACTTCGTTTGAATCGCAAAATAATAATAAATATAATACAACAACAACATTGTGTGCTGGGGGAGTCTCTGGCCTGTCTGCGTCCAGGTCTTCGTCTCCGTCTCCGGAATGGAATCTCTACCGACGGACAGTCTCTTTCTGGCCAGGCCGTGCCCAGGTTTTGACCTGCCGACGCTTTGCTGGGAAGTTTTTATATTTATTTCGCTCGCTTCTCTTTTTTTCGTAGTTATTTTTTTGTTTCTTTTTTTTATTCGACATTTTTGCGCTGCTGCTGCTGGCGGCAATTGTTAAAAAATTTAAACACCAGCCAGAGATAAAGAGAATGTTATGGCTTCGGGGGAGGTAACAACCAAAGTATGCGAGTGCGGTGATACCCTGCCAATACGTGGGGGAAAAGAGTGTTGAAGAACTAACAAAGATACAGGTGCTTGAGGCTTAAAAAATAAAGACTTGATACATTATAAAATGGCTAAAAATTCAAAATGAAATGTATAAATATAATATTAACAACTAATATTTTGTTTAAATATATAATTGGCGATCTTAGCATATTTTAGATCTTATAATTATCAATGGAGTCTCAAACTGATTCCTAATACTAAGACGACCCTCAGTGAGGGACTCCTCTTTGGTGTTTAACATTTTCCCAATGTCTCATCTTACCTCGAAACAAAGCGAATTCACCCTTGATGATGTGCGCTACCAAAAAACATGAAATGTCACTGGTTCCGTCGAAACCTCTTTCAGGTAGCCACAGCCTCAGATGGATTCCTCGTGAAACTTTGACCATTGGGTCCGACCCAGTGGGTTTGGGTTATTTCGGTTTTTTTCGGGTCTCTCCTTTGCCCATTTGACAACGTACGAAATATTGCACCCCTGGGCATCTCTGGGCACATCTCCCCCTCCCATATCCTGGCTAGAGTTGTCAGCGGACGGCTGCGATGGCGTCGCAGACGGCGGATGTATTTGTGGCGTATAATGTTACATCTGCTTAGCGGAAAGATAAATCAACGGAGCCGGCGAGCGTCGCCTGCATCGGCTACCAGTTACCAGTTGCCGGTTTCCAACCGAGCATCCCAGCAGCCCAGCAGCCAAGCTTCCCAGCATCCCGACATCGCCATCAGTGGCAGCGCCAAACGTCGCACTCAAGTTGACAATGATAAATAGTGAAAAAGCGCCAGGCAAGCTGGGGGATTCCCGGCAGGGGGAGATGGGGAGATCCACGAGGTGACAGACACTCACTCCTCTGCCAGGTTGGCAAGTGGCGAAAGTTTCGTGCTCGTTGCTGGAAGTAAAACATTTCGATTAAAGTTTATGAAATGGCAACCTCTGAAGGCACCCTCTATGACGATGACGTTGGGGGGCCACAGGGTTGCCCGTTTTGGCCAGGAATTAGTAGCTGCGAATGCCCAATCCTCTGTGAGTTGAGCTGTAGTTGATTAAAAAGTTTGGCCAACTTATAAAGCATCCTCTCCCCTCTTCTTTAGAAGCTCTTTGAATATCGAACAGGAAGCCGCGCCGAAAAACTTGGCTCGGTGAGGCGAAGAAACCACCGAGGACGCCAGGCGGTGCTGGCTATCAGGTGCGCTGCCTTTGACAATCAGTTTTGTCTCTTTTTCTGTGCCGACGACAACAAGTTATCTCGCCTGGCAGGACAATATTTCTTGGCCACAAGCAAAGAAAACACAAAAAGGTAGAAAGAAGAGGGAAGGAAAATAAAACTTTTCCGACCGTAGGAAAATAAGTTAAGCTCAAGGCGAAACTAAACACTCTTTGAGGTACAAATTTAAATATAAATAAAGTGCCAAACAAAGTACCCGTGCGAGGCAGCGGAGCAGCTGCATCAGCATCGGCGGGGAGGGAGCCAGGCAGGTCCTGGAGGAGGCGACACTATAATAAATAAATAAAAATGCAACAAAATGACATTAAAGGTAAATTCAGGAGGAGAAGCAGCCCCAGAACCAGCAGCAGCAGCAGCAGCTCCTTGGTATATATTTTTCCAAGGTGCCAAGGGGATGCTGAGACCGAACGAGCAGGGTTCACAGTCTTGAGTAGTAGGAAGGGCTGTGGGCGTGGTGCTCTCTACCCCTACTCTCACTCTAGGACTCCGAGGTTTGCATACAAATAGCTTCGGTCCGGGGGCTTAGGGTTAGATGGAACTAGGGTTCCCAACCCCTCGGCACTCGAACCGACCCTCGACCCAAGG